CGTCGTGAGAATATTATTGTGTTATTTTATTTTATCAATTTATTATTTTATTCTCATTCTACGTGACTTTACCGAAAGAACCAAAGAAGATGTATGCTTTAACTTTAACATAGCCATTTCTGTGACCAGTCACAAGCTAATCACTCAGCCATTTCAATGCTAAATTCTATGCTAATTCCTTTGTCAAGGCGCTTTGTTTCTTCTCACACAGCTTAAAGGTCGCGATCTGAGCGTGGCTTTTTCACTCCAGTGCTGTCCTCCAGACAGTCTTGTCCCTTCACCTGATGAAGGCCGCTTGTGTTGTGGCCGAAACGTCATGAGAATATTGTGTTATTTTATTTTATCAATTTATTATTTTATTCTCATTCTACATGACTTTACCGAAAGAACCAAAGAAGATGAATCCTTGCAGTCACGAAAGCTTTAAATCCACATTAATTCCATACACTCATCCATCAAATTCACCATGGAAGTGGAGAAGGATGGTAAGCTACCATTCCTGGATTATTTTGTTTGAGAAGAAACCTGATGGCTCTTTGGGACACTCTGTCTACTGGAAAGCCACCCACACAGATTCCTATCTGAAACCTCATTCCCACCACCATCCGGCCCAGAAGAATTCCCTCATCAAAACACTACACCATAGGGCCCACTGCATTTCTGACCAACACCACCTAGCCAGTGAACTGGAACACGTATACCAGACTGGATATTCGGACCGCATTATTCGCAAAGCGGTTTCTACAACCATGGAGAAACAACCCCCTGCGATGCCGATCAAAACCATCACGTTACCATTCATAGCAGGCGTTACCAAAAAGATTGCCAAAATCTTAAACAAACACAAGATCCAGGTCCGATTCAGTACAGTACACAAAATCCGTGATCTAATCCCATCTAAATTTTGATTTAAAGCTTTCGTGACTGCAGTAATTCATATTCTTAGTTTTTTCGGTAAAGTCACGTTGAAGAGAAACAACAAAATAATAAAATATATATAACAATAAAAAATTCTCACGACGTTTCGACCATAACTCAAACGGTCATCTTCAGGTGTGTTGGTTTGCATAAATTAATTTTTAAACGGCGCATTTATTTATTTATAAAAAAACGTTAGCGTCACGCGCAGCGATTTGGCAGTTTGCCCAGGACTAGTCCATTTATATTTTGAAAAGAGGAGGGGGGAGACGAATTTTTTTTTATATATATAATGTATGCTGTCTGAAAGCAACTGTAAGCGTGAACAATCAATTAAGAACTGAAATGGTTTATCAAATCTTTCCAATGATTGCTAAGATAGAATCCATCTTCTCGGTTGAAATTGTCTCTGTGCTTGTATATGTGGATAGCCTCATGAACGAATCTCTCATGGAAGCCAGATGGCTTACAAAGAACCTCTGTCTTGGAAAAGTCAATGGCATGTGAGCCTACTGAATTAGAACAATGATCTGCTACGGCCGAGGTGTTGGTCCTACCGTGTTTAAGGTCTGCTTTATGTTCACGAATGCGGTCCGAGACATGGCGTTTGGTTTCTCCAATGTAACTACTACCACAGAGGCAACTTAGTTTGTAGACACCAGGGTATTGTATGTCCGGAATCACATCTTTTACAGACGGAACCAGATCACGGATTTTATGTAATGTGTTGAAACGGACCTGGATCTTGTGTTTATCAAGATTTTGGAGATCTTTTTTGTGATCCCAGCAATGTAGGGTAAAGTGATGGTTTTGAAAGGCTCCTCAAGAGGGTTCTTCTTCATGGTTTGAGTGATAGCTTTGCGGATTGTATAGTCGGAGTAACCATTAGCCCTAAGAGCTTGGTGTACGTGCTTGAGTTCACTGCTTATGTGTTCCTGGTCGGATATGCATTGGGCTCTATGATACAGAGTCTTGATGAGAGAATTCTTCTGTGATGGATGGTGGTGGGAATCCGGTTTCAGATAAGCATCCGTATGGGTAGCTTTCCTGTAGACAGAGTGGCTCATTGAACCATCAGGTCTCTTTTTAATTAGGACATCCAAAAAAGGTATCTTGCCATCTATTTCGACTTCCATGGTAAATCTGATGGCTGGGTGTATGGAATTGATGTGGTCGAAGAATTGGTCTAGAGCAGGCCGGCCATGTGGCCAGATGACAAAAGTGTCATCCACGTACCTCTTCCATGAGGTTGGGCGCAGAGTGGCAGTCTGGATGGCGTCAGTCTCAAATTTCTCCATGAAAATGTTAGCTATAACTGGAGAAAGGGGGGAGCCCATTGGGGTGCCCTCAGTTGTTTGTAGAAAGTTACATTCCAAGTGAAGTATGTATTGGTTAAACAGTGTCTCACCAGGGGGGGTACCTCAGTGTTTAGTCCTTGATGAACCAAGTCTTCAATGATTGCAATGGTGTCAGGTACAGGAACCTTGGTGAATAAGGAAACTACATCAAAACTGACAAGCAGGTCGTCTGGGGACAGGGAAATACCCTTGATTGTCGATACCAGGTGAGTAGAATTTTGTACCGCAGAGGTGGTCTTTCCAGTGAAAAGACGCAGGATTTCAGACAAAAAACGAGCTAGTTTGTAGGTGGGGGAGCTGATAGTAGAGACTATGGGACGAAGAGGTGTATCAACTTTATGTATTTTTGGTAAGCCGTATAATCTTGGTGGCCTGGCAGCAGAAGGTTTCAACGAAAACTGTTTAGATTGATCAATTAATGCGGTTGAATCAGAAATTATTTTGTTGGTTTGTGTGACGAGGCTGTTGGTGGGATCTCTTTTTATTTTTGTATAACTACAATGGTTACTCCGACTATACAATCCGCAAAGCTATCACTCAAACCATGAAGAACCCTCTTGAGGAGCCTTTCAAAACCATCACTTTACCCTACATTGCTGGGATCACAAAAAAGATCTCCAAAATCTTGAATAAACACAAGATCCAGGTCCGTTTCAACACATTACATAAAATCCGTGATCTGGTTCCATCTGTAAAAGATGTGATTCCGGACATACAATACCCTGGTGTCTACAAACTAAGTTGCCTCTGTGGTAGTAGTTACATTGGAGAAACCAAACGCCATGTCTCGGACCGCATTCGTGAACATAAAGCAGACCTTAAACACGGTAGGACCAACACCTCGGCCGTAGCAGATCATTGTTCTAATTCAGTAGGCTCACATGCCATTGACTTTTCCAAGACAGAGGTTCTTTGTAAGCCATCTGGCTTCCATGAGAGATTCGTTCATGAGGCTATCCACATATACAAGCACAGAGACAATTTCAACCAAGAAGATGGATTCTATCTTAGCAATCATTGGAAAGATTTGATAAACCATTTCAGTTCTTAATTGATTGTTCACGCTTACAGTGGCTTACAGACAGCATACATTATATATATAAAAAAAAATTCGTCTCCCCCCTCCTCTTTTCAAAATATAGATGGACTAGTCCTGGGCAAACTGCCAAATCGCTGCGCGTGACGCTAACGTTTTTATAAATAAATAAATGCGCCATTTAAAAATACATTTATGCAAACCAACACACCTGAAGATGACCGTTTGAGTTATGGTCGAAACGTCGTGAGAATTTTTTATTGTTTTATATATATTTTATTATTTTGTTGTTTCTCTTCAACGTGACTTTACCGAAAAACCTAAGAATACTAATCCCATCTGTGAAGGATGTCATTCCTGACATGCAATATCCGGGAGTCTACAAACTAAGTTGCTCCTGTGGTGATTGTTACATTGGGGAAACGAAACGGCATGTGTCGGACCATGTTCGCGAGCACAAGGCAGATCTGAAACACGGCAGGACTAATACCTCCGCCGTGGCTGATCATTGCCATAACACTGTGGGCTCTCATGATATTGTTTTTTCCGAAGCCAAGGTGCTCTGCAAACCTTCGGGCTACTATCAAAGGTTTGTTCATGAAGCCATCCAAATATATAAACATAGACATAACTTAAACCGAGAAGATGGATACAAATTTAGCAATCATTGGACGATGTTATTAACCACCTCAACTGCTTTATAGTTTGCCTTCATATCCGCATCTCCAGTTTCTTCAGCCTCCTACCCCCCAGCCCTGCTCACTTCCCAGCCCCGGCATTTTGTCGTGCTCGGGTTGGAGCTTGCATTTCTCCAGCCCCGGCATTGTTGTTATACTCAGTGTTGGAGCTTGCACTTCTCCACTCCCCCTACCCCACACCCCCACCCTCTCTATCTCTCCTCCCTGGCTCCTCCTCCCCCTCTCTTACTTAAATAGCCTCTTGTTACAAGCAGCCCCCCTTCTGCCCACTTCAGCAATTGTTTCTTGCTGTGGTTGTTCCACCTGATGACGGGCACTTGTGTTGCACCCGAAACGTCGTGATTTAATATATTTAATTTTATACCTACGTGACTTTACCGAAAGAACCAAAGAGTATGGATCCCTGCAGTCACGAAAACTTCAAATCTAGATTGTGCCATCTTCATTAATATAAAATTTAAGACAAGCCACAGGAGTATGATTGTAGCCATGTAACCCAAACTATTAACCATACATTTAACCACTATAGTCTGCGCTCCCAGAACAGACAAATAGAAAATTACAAACTTCCTGTTGAATCACTCTCGTGGATAGCAGACCTCGATATTTAGCCCCCTAGCCATAGGAAATAATATAATGGAATTAATGTAAAACTTTCCTGAAAAAGACTTGAGGGTCAGTTAATCATTCGTGGATATATAAATGTCAAAAAAGCTGTTTCATCTCCAGATTGTCTTCTGTCATTCAGAATCATAGATTCCACATGTAACTTGTCAATGCCACCCATTTTTGGTTGTTTGTCCTTGAATGTTATAGGAAAACAAATTAGCCTATACCAAAGAGACATATAGTCTGTTAACTTCAAAGAACATATGTGACAATCCAGATTTATTTAACAATCAAATAAGGCATGCATGTCTCGTTGTGGCCAAAGAATACATTGCATGTTCAGCAAAGTATGCTGCAACAAAAGCATTTCCACAGCATTACCATGAGTGAGGTCACTGGCATCATCACTGTGTGGCGAGGAGACTCTTGACGCCGGCGTTTGTGGCCGTGAGCCCACACTGTCCTGCAGGATGGCCGTGCGGGGTCGTGTGGGGCCACCTTCATTCCCCCAGAGGAGTGACGCACAGGCCGAGCGGGGCCGTGCAGAACGGGGCCTTGCCGTGCCTGGCCGTCCCAGCGGAGAGACGGGACTCTCTCTGCCACCTGTACACAACACATTATAAGATCGCACTCATAACACACCAATTGTTTGCCACAAATTAACCACAATACCTTGCTGATCTCGTCAAGGAGCATAAACCATCACGCGCACTCCGGTCATCTTCACAGAGGCTTTTGGCTGGCCAATGAACAAAGATGGTCACCGCATCATACTTTCAGATGCATTTCTACGGCCATCTGAAAGGCTCTTCTATTCGATATTAGGAAGTCACTGGAGCTATGCACTTTTAAATCTAGATTGAAAACTCACTTCTTTGAAACTGCCTTTTCTATCTTGATTTGGAGCTTTAGTGACTGCAGGAATCCATACTCTTTGGTTCTTTCGGTAAAGTCACGTAGGTATAAAATAAAATAAATCACTGTAAAAATATAATCCAGCAGTGGAACTGCTGAACTAGCGAGACAACAGTTACAACAAGGTTATATATATGGCGATGAGCAAGCAAGCGGGGTCTCGGCTGGAAAGGAATTCCACCCCCGGACGCAAGCACCTCAGTTGTGTTAATGGGGGAGATTAGGGAGAGAGGGATTTGAGAGGGAGATTAGCATGAATGAGCTCCGTCGCCACATGAGAGTATCTTGTCCGCATATGCGCACAACAGCAGTGTTAATGAGAGATTAGCACCATGAGAGTGCAATCCAAAGGGCATGTGAGCCTGAGAGGTGCAATCCCAAGGACATGTGAGTATGAGAGTGCAATCCAAAGGACATGTGAGCATGAGAGTGCAATCCAAAAGACATGTGAGAGATCTGAGAGAGAGACAGAGAGTTGGAAATAACAGCTGACATAGGCAGGTAGGATGGACACATCACAGTCAGTTAAGACTTTACCTGGTTAATAACGTCCTTCCAATGATTGCTCAATTTGTACCCATCTTCTCGGTTGAAGTTGTGACTGTGTTTATATATTTGGGTGGCTTCATGAACAAATCTCTGAAGGTAGCCAGTAGGTTTGCAGAGTACTTCCGTCTTGGAAAAATCAATTTTCGTGTGAGCCCACAGCGTTAAAACAATGATCAGCAATGGCAGAGGTATTGGTTCTACCATGTTTCAGATCCGCCTTGTGTTCACGAACGCGGTCCGAGACATGTCGTTTCGTTTCCCCAATGTAACTGCTGCCACAACCACAACTCAGTTTTTATACACCAGGGCATTGCATGGCAGGAATCACATCCTTTAGATGGGATTAAATCACGGATTTTGTGTACTGTGTTGAAACGAACCTGGATTATGTGTTTGTTTAAAATTTTGGAAATCTTTTTGGTAACCCCTGCTATGTATGGCAAAATTATGGTATTGGTTGGATCCTCAGAAGGTTGTCTCCCCATGGCTGGGGAGGCAGCTTCGCGGATTGTACGGTCCGAGTATCCGTTTCTTCCTGAGGGCTTGGTGTACTCACTCCAACTCACTAGCTAGGTGGTGCTGGTCGGAGATGCAATGGGCCCTATGGTGTAGTTTTGATTAGGGAATTCTTATGGGCTGGATGGTGGTGGGAGTCAGGCATTAGATAGACATCCGTGTGGGTGGCTTTCCTGTAGACAGAATGTCCCAACGAACCCTCAGGTCTCTTCTCGACCAAAACATCTATGAATGGTAACTTGCCATCCTTTTCCACTTCCATGGTGAATTTGATGGCTGGGTGTATGGAATTGATGTGGTTGAAGAATTGGTTTACCAAGTTCAGCAGTTCCACTGCTGGATTATATTTTTTCCGCCTGAGGACAACCGCTTGTGTTGCGATCGAAACGTCGTGATTTATCTTATTTTATACCTACGTGACTTTACCGAAAGAACCAAAGAGTATGTTTTTTATATTTAGTTTGTTGTCCTTCTCCCGCACCTCTGATTAGTGCAGATGGCTATGTACGGCGCAAAAGAAGCTCAACATACATACTTCCTAATCGCCTTTGAAACCATTAACTAACAAGACTTTCAAAACATTAAGTCACTACTACTGTTATCACTTTTTTTTCTGATCTCATGAAGGGGTGTTGGTTCCACAGTTCCACAGCTCACCCATGCAAACTTAAAATATTAATGCGAAAGTTCTCAGTGTTGGCCAATAACTCAAGGCAAAGGAACAGCTCACCCAGCCCATGCCCCAGGCACAGGGTGGTCGCATCGTCCACGATGGCATCTCGTACTAGCAGCCAGTCGGTGCCAGTGGTGGCAGCGGCGGGCAAGGCATGGCGCTCGTTCGCCGGGCGATCGTCCAGCACAGAGAGCTGGGGCAGGAGATCGAGCACTGCGCGGCGGTACTCATAGCTGGGGTCCTGCGGCGGACAGCAGGGACACACGCATGTAAAAAGATTCCATATATAGCCTTCAACAAATTTGTGGCAAGTGCTGCTTGTCAGCACCTACAGTGAGGGAAAAAAGTATTTGATCCCCTGCTGATTTTGTACGATTGCCCACTGACAAAGAAATTATCACTCTATAATTTTAATGGTAGGTTTATTTTAACAGTGAGAGACAGAATTAAAAAAAAATCCAGAATAACAAAAAAAATCCAGAAAAACGCATGTCAAAAATGTTATAAATTGATTTGCATTTTAATGAGGGAAATCAGTATTTGGCCCCCTCTCAATCAGAAAGATTTCTGGCTCCCAGGTGTCTGTTATACAGGTAACGAGCTGAGATTAGAAGCACACTCTTAAAGGGAGTGCTCCTAATCACAGCTTGTTACCTGTATAAAAGGCACCTGTCCACAGAAGCAATCAATCAATCAATCAGATTCCAAACTCTCCACCATGGCCAAGACCAAAAAGCTCTCCAAGGATGTCAGGGACAAGATTATAGAACTACACAAGGCTGGAATGGGCTACAAGACCATTGCCAAGCAGCTGGTGCGATTATTCGCAAATGGAAGGAACACAAAATAACTGTCAATCTCCCTCAGTCTGGGGATCCATGCAAGATCTCACCTCGTGTAGTTGCAATGATCATGAGAACGGTGAGGAATTAGCCCAGAACTACACGGGAGGATCTTGTCAATGATCTCAAGGCAGCTGGGACCATAGTCACCAAGAAAACAATTGGTAACACACTACGCCATGAAGGACTGAAATCAGGCAGCGCCCGCAAGGTCCCCCTGCTCAAGAAAACACATACATGCCCGTCTGAAGTTTGCCAATTAACATCTGAATGATTCAGAGGACAACTGGGTGAAAGTGTTGTGGTCAGATGAGACCAACATGGAGCTCTTTGGCATCAACTCAACTCGCCGTGTTTGGTGGAGGAGGAATGCTGCCTATGACCCCAAGAACACCATCCCCACCGTCAAACATGGAGGTGGAAACATTATGCTTTGGGGGTGTTTTTCTGCTAAGGGGACAGGACAACTTCACCGCATCAAAGGGACGATGGACGGGGCCATGTACTATCAAATCTTAGGTGAGAACCTCCTTCCCTCAGCCAGGGCATTGAAAATGGGTCGTGGATGGGTATTCCAGCATGACAATGACCCAAAACACACGGTCAAGGCAACAAAGGAGTGGCTCAAGAAGAAGCACATTAAGGTCCTGGAGTGGCCTAACCAGTCTCCAGACCTTAATCCCATAGAAAATCTGTGGAGGGAGCTGAAGGTTCGAGTTGCCAAACGTCAGCCTCGAAACCTTAATGACTTGCAGAAGATCTGCAAAGAGGAGTAGGACAAAATTCCTCCTGAGATGTGTGCAAACCTGGTGGCCAGCTACAAGAAACGTCTGACCTCTGTGATTGCCAACAAGGGTTTTGCAACCAAGTACTAAGTCATGTTTTGCAGAGGGGTCAAATACTTATTTCCCTCATTAAAATGCAAATCAATTTATAACATTTTTGACATGCGTTTTTCTGGATTTTTTTGTTGTTATTCTGTCTCTCACTGTTCAAATAAATCTACCATTAAAATTATAGACTGATCATTTCTTTGTCAGTGGGCAAACGTACAAAATCAGCAGGGGATCAAATACTTTTTTCCCTCACTGTATAAACTAGAAACTTAAATTTTTATATTACCAGGTAAGGCCCACTGAGCTGTATAGCCTTTTTTCAGAAGCGACCTAGCCACAAATGATAGCTGAACTTAGTGCCTTATAACATGGAAATTTATATCGGCCAAATACTCTAAAACGCATGTTTATAAATGTGGAGGGAAAAAATGGAGGACCAGTAGAAAAATCCACACGACCACGGGGAGAACATGCAAACTCCAAATACACAGGCATCAGGGTCGGGATCGAACCCATAACCTCCTGTAAACCAGGCGAGATAGTAACATCTTGCCACTGTGGCACCCACCTTACGAAGGCCGACACAGCACACAACACGCCCGGCCACCTTTTTTCTCCATAGATGATGTTTGAACAGCACACAAGTTACTCATAAAAAACATGCTTTTAAGAGTATTTGGCTGCTTTCGATTTCCACATGATGCGCCACTTTGTTGGGCTATCATTTGTGACCAAGTCGCTTCTATAAAAGAGCTATATAGCTGAGTGGGCTTTCCCTGGTAAAATAACAAATAGTTTAGCTGAATTGTTATAGTTTAATTTAAGGCATGGTCAACCAAGGGAAGGCTCAAGACCGTTTTCGGATATCCAGCACTGGATGTTAGCCATGATTGCGACTCAAACTTGGGTCGCAAGGTTCACAGTGCACAAACCACTACCCCGTGTAACCACGGCATCAAGTAGTGGTTAGTGCACTGACATAGCCGAGCACTCGTGCTGGGCCACGACACCACCCCAGTACAAAATGTTAAGTGAGCATGATGATGATGCAGTGGCGCAAGTCGGCACCTGCGGGGCGTTAGGGGAGGCGCGGGAGCAGACGGGGTTTCCCTCGAGCGTGAGGCAGGCGAGGTGTGGGCAGAGTGCCAGCGCGTGCACCTGCGCCATATCCTCCACACCATTCCCCTCCAGATCCAACACCTCCAGCTCCTCCAGCAGGCTCAGGGGGCCCAGCTCATGTGCTCCATTATAGGCAATGTATAGCTCCTGGTACCGGGACAAAAGGAAAGTGTGGGTGAAGTGGGGGCGGGGGGAGGGGGCAAAACTTCTTCTTTCGTACGGCTGATGTACAGTGAGGGAAAAAAAGTATTAGATCCCCTGCTGATTTTGTATGTTTGCCCACTGACGAAGAAATTATCAGTCTATCATTTTAATGGTAGGTTTATTTTAACGGTGAGAGACAGAATAACAGCAAAAAATCCAGAAAAACGCATGTCAAAAATGTTATAAATTGATTTGCATTTTAATGAGGGAAATAAGTATTTGGCCCCCTCTCATCAGAAAGATTTCTGGTTCCCAGGTGTCTGTTATATAGGTAACGAGCTGAGATTAGGAGCACACTCTTAAAGGGAGTGCTCCTAATCTCAGCTTGTTACCTGTATTAAAGACACCTGTCCACAGAAGCAATCAATCAATCAGATTCCAAACTCTCCACCATGGCCAAGACCAAAGAGCTCTCCAAGGATGTCAGGGACAAGATTGTAGAACTACACAAGGCTGGAATGGGCTACAAGACCATTGCCAAGCAGCTTGGTGAGAAGGTGACAACAGTTGGTGCGATTATTCGCAAATGGAAGAAACACAAAAGAACTGTCAATCTCCCTCGGCCTGGGGCTCCATGCAAGATCTCACCTCGTGGAGTTGCAATGATCATGAGAACCAGGGGCGGAGCCAGGGGGGGTGACAAGGGTGACATTCTGCGTATAAGTGTACGACACTCGGTCTGGCGGACTCCGTGCAACTGCATTGTCAGAATGTGTCGCCAACCGATGGCGTTTAGTTCAACAGCCTGACTCTCTAATCATTCTTGAAATTAAAATGTGTTGAATGTCACCCCGGCCTGAAATCCTGGCTCCGCCCCTGATGAGAACGGTGAGGAATCAGCCCAGAACTGCACGGGAGGATCTTGTCAATGATCTCAAGGCAGCTGGGACCATAGTCACCAAGAAAACAATTGGTAACACACTACGCCGTGAAGGACTAAAATCCTGCAGCGCCCGCAAGGTCCCCCTGCTCAAGAAAGCACATATACATGCCCGTCTGAAGTTTGCCAATTAACATCTGAATGATTCAGAGGACAACTGGGTGAAAGTGTTGTGGTCAGATGAGACCAAAATGGAGCTCTTTGGCATCAACTCAACTCGCCGTGTTTGAAGGAGGAGGAATGCTGCCTATGACCCCAAGAACACCATCCCCACCGTCAAACATGGAGGTAGAAACATTATACTTTGGGGGTGTTTTTCTGCTAAGGGGACAGGCAACTCCACCGCATCAAAGGGATGATGGGCGGGACCATGTACCGTCAAATCTTGGGTGAGAACCTCCTTCCCTCAGCCAGGGCATTGAAAATGGGTCGTGGATGGGTATTCCAGCATGACAATGACCCAAAACACACGGCCAAGGCGACAAAGGAGTGGCACAAGAAGAAGCACATTAAGGTCCTGGAGTGGCCTAGCCAGTCTCCAGACCTTAATCCCATAGAAAATATGTGGAGGGAGCTGAAGGTTCGAGTTGCCAAACGTCAGCCTCGAAACCTTAATGACTTGGAGAAGATCTGCAAAGAGGAGTGGGACAAAATCCCTCCTGAGATGTGTGCAAACCTGGTGGCCAACTACAAGAAACGTCTGACCTCTGTGATTGCCAACAAGGGTTTTGCCACCAAGTACTAAGTCATGTTTTGCAGAGGGGTCAAATACTTATTTCCCTCATTAAAATGCAAATCAATTTATAACATTTTTGACATGCGTTTTTCTGGATTTTGTTGTTGTTATTCTGTCTCTCACTGTTCAAATAAATCTACCATTAAAATTATAGACTGATCATTTCTTTGTCAGTGGGCAAACGTACAAAATCAGCAGGGGATCAAATACTTTTTTCCCTCACTGTAAATGAAGAGCAACAACTACGATTTCACATTCAGGTGGTCAAGCCAGATAGCCGCGTCAGGAGAATTAGCAGAGTGTATCACTTTAACGTCGCCTTCATATTTGTGGATCGGGCACGGAATCGTTCTATCTTCTATGGTCTGTTCTGGATGACCAGTGTGTCCAGGCCTTCAACGCATTCAATCCACCGCTGACGTCTGGCTAAGTCTAAAAGACTCTAGTAGGGCCTTTCCAACCTGTGGCCTGTCCGACTGGTTGTCCTGTCTGAGCAGGTCCGAGGGTCTATTTTTGTCATGCTGGGAGTGGATTCTTTCTGGAAGCCTCGGAGGATGCTCTTCTTGGCATTTACAGTAAGGAGGCCAATAAAATGTGATAACATTCCGGTGTCGTGGGAAGTCAACTCACAACTCTTTCTACAGCTTCCTTATGGTGGTTCCAGTCAGCTTTGACCAGCTGATTGCCCCTAGTCTGTGCGTCACTGGCTCAAGGAACTCATAATGACCATGTAATCGCACTGACATAGTTATTATTAGCGCTACTGAGATCCTCACTTATGATTGGCCAGCTTGTTGAACGTAGCAAGTTTGATTATCTAATCCTGGTCATCAATGACTGCACTCAAAACCATGAGTGAATCTTCATCTTCTTCGTTTGTACGGCAGGATGGAAAAACTAACAGTTTTGAAATGTGTTATAGATGAATGCTAGTTTTTTCAAACAATACAAGAAGGCAGTAGATGCCGTATGGATTGCAGCAACACCACCACCAGGATGTGCATAGATTGCACATTCGTCGGTGATGTGTTTGATGGTTTGCACTTCACCACAGTCGCAGTCCGGCAATTTTCTGATCATTCATTTTGCGTTGGAGCGTGGTTTAGCGTGGTCCATAGTTTTTGTAGGAGAGAGAAGTCTGGTACTTCCACAACCGGTTCCTCAATGAGGTTTTTGTTTATTTGTCACATCTACGATACCGACCAGTGAGTGCTGATGTCTTTATTTTCAGCTGCTAAAGCGGAGGCGTTCATCCACAAAGTATTGCTGGATTTTAGCTTATGGTGTGGGGGTTATTTTAGGTCCTCTTGCAGTGGCATAGTGATGTCCATAGTATTGTGGTACTCCCGAGTTATCGCAGCACAGCAGTGAAGTGGACTTCAGCATGCTGCTGATAATATGAAGTGCGATGTTGATTTCTGTATCGATGTTTGTATGTAAGTGATGGAACTCTATTTCGGTGCACAGTATGACTCCGCGGTAGAGTGGATTAGAGCTTTCGTCGATACCAATGTACAGGTGTCACTTCCCCACGTTGTTCCTGCAAGTTTCTGAATAATGTTCACTCATGTTTTTGTTTCCCTTTGGCTTGTTCAAGGTGGTGGTAGTCGGTACCGGGGTGGTGGGTTTGGCTTAAGGCACACATTTTTTAAGTTTGCTTTTAGGTTTAGATTTTTTTAAGGACTTTTCCAGTGACCTCTATTGTCCGAGTTTGGGTTGCCAGCACAATGTCATCTACATACATAAACTTTCGGGAGGATGTTGCCGGAATGTTACTGGTGAAGAATTGAACAGCGCTGGGGCTAGAACAGATACCTGTGGGAGTCCATTATTCAATCTTCGTGGGCTGATAGCAGGTTCGCTCTGCATTTGTTATGCGTTGTATTGTCGGGTGGCAAGGCACAGCTGTGACAAGCTTTAGCAGGAGACGGTTCCACTGTACGGTATTGTATGCTGAAGAGAAGTCACTGAACGCTGTTACTCTTTTGATCTGATGTTCGATGTCAGCATCAATATGGCTTGTTAAATAAAACACCCGATCACAGCAATTTTGGCCAGTTCCAAACCCAGCATGTTTCTTGGAGACTATATCCTCAAGTGAATGCTTCATTCAGCCTTTGAATGAGCCACTGATCAATACAGGCAGTCCCTGGGTTACGAAGACCCGACTTACGAATATTGGACTTTGCGGAAAAGCACCCATAAATCATAATTATTTGTTTTCAATGCTTAGAACTATCTTTCCCCCCCATGTTTCCATTGCTAGTTTTCTTAATTTTAAGTTTATTTCATGAGTGATTTACTTCATGTACTGTGTGTATGTGTGTGCATGTGTGTATAAAAATGTAGGCTGGCCTGCCCACGATCTATCCTGGGTTTAACCAGGCTGGATTGTGTGAGGAGCTCACAAATCCTTGAAAGATCTGGACAAGGTCCCATCGGTGAGCTTTTCCAGCAGGCAAGGTTGCGTTGGCTGGGTCATGTAGCCCACATGCCCAGCCACCGCATGGTTAAACAGCTTTTGTTCGGCCAGAAAGAGCGGGATAAACGGGCGCGGCACGGGGTAGAGAAGAGATTGAGTGATGTGGTACAAGAGGATGTGAAGCTGAGTGGACTTGCCGATGACTGGTACCAGTGGTGTCAAGATCGGCCTCTGTGGAAGGACGCTACTGGGCAGTTAGAGGTAGTCGCCCTCCAGCAACAACGGAGGGCAGAGAAGCGACGCTCACAACAATGAGCAGAGTGCCGGGTGGCTAAAACAAAGGGGGCACAGGTGGTGCATTGGCCAGTCATCTCAGTCAGCCAACCAAATGCACCTGGGTCTGTCCCGTGACCTCCTGCCAGCAGGCGTTCAACACTCCACATTGCCTTAACATGCACATAGTCTGGCTCAAGCACCGGGGCTGACGTCACCGCCATTTAGTGGCGAATGGCGGTTATTGTGTGTAGACGAGCCTGTCTTTGTGTGCGTGTGTGTATGTTTCTGGGGAGGGGTAGTGCAGCGGTTAGCACGCTACGCTACAAACCTGATGACCCGCGTTTGATTCCCGCTCACAGCCAACATCAGTGATGATTATCTGAACCGGTCCTGGACCTCCCGTATATCGACTGAGCCTCAAATAAGTATCTGGTGTGATATGTAAACATCACCACTGGGGAGACAAAGGCGGCCGGGCCTGGTGCTGGCCACCCACCCCCTCGTGTGCTGTTCTGGCCTTCATAGGTGCTCGCTAACAGCACTTGCCCCAACAGTCTGTTAAGGCTATACAGGGGATCTTTGTCTTTGTGTGTGTCAAGTTTAGCCTAATGCATGGGAAACAAACATTCGGAAGTGACTGCTTTCTGTTAACAATTCATGTTAAAATGTTTCGTGGTAGTCATAAACAATTGGATACAGTATATTTTCTATTAGTTTAATAATGGGTAGTGTTATGGTAGATATTCGATGAAATAATCATTGAAAGTGGAGAGCGTATATACAGCGATAACATGCAGGTAATGATAGAAAATGGATGATAGCGCGATACAGTACTGAGAGAAAAAGGTAGTGGAGGCACAAATATTTCTGGCTATGGGATTTCATCTTGATTTTGGGGGGAAATTGTTCAGTTTCCGACATATGGAAAATTCGGGTTAGGGATTGTTCTCTGAAACATAACCCTTTTGTAACCTGGGGACTATCTGTAGTTTGTCACAGACACTGACGTGGGAAACTGGGTGGTAGTTTGTATTTTCCAATGCATCTCTGCTGGGTTTAAGGTTGGCTATAATCTTAGCTGCTTTCCACTCTTTTGGTACTACACCTAAGGAACGTGGCTAGCCATTTTCATGTTCATGCTCCAAAGTTATTGATGAATTCTGGATAAATCCCATCGAAACATACGGCTTTCCCAGGTTTAATTTAAGCAATGAGCGTTTACTTCCCTCGATTGAGAAAAGACCCGAGAATGTGGATGTTTGTTGGCAACAGTCGAGTCTGATAGTTTTTTTTTTATATAAACTTACCATGTTGTGTTTTATTATCAATGGACATTAATTGCTGATTAGCTTTCTGGCAATGCTGTCAGGGTTGACTTGGGGAGATTTGTAAGTTGGCGTCACTACTGCTCCCAGCAGCCTTAGTAGGCGCCAGGCTTTTCAGCTCATTTACGTAGAATCAAGCGCCTCTACTGTTTCACGCCTGTCTTCTTGGCTAATTCAGTGACCCAAGCAAGGTATCTCCTGTTTCTGGTCAGCATTACATTGTCAGAAAAGTTGTCCGCTTCCTGCATCACAGAGCAGGTACTGGCCTTCTGTTGCTGTCCCTGATGTCAGTTGTTCACCTGCTCGATCATTGGCATTGTAGTCCCACAGGGTGCTATTGAAGTCGCCAGTATGGATGGTAGGGTGGCTTGGTGGTGGTCGCATTAGACATGGCCATTCCATACATTCAGGCTTGTAGATGTTGACTACTATTAAGTCGTTAATTTTTATGGCGATATAGTGTGGTGATTTTTTGGGCACGACCTGTACCGAGTACTTCAGGTTAGTTTTTAGGCGTGTAGAAAGGCCATCTATCGGATGATGGCTTGTGGAAATGAGGGAGCAACCATTTAAATTAATCACTCAATAAAACACCGTGTAATTGAACACTGCCATGATTCAAGCTTCCAGCCCTGGGTATGTGTCTCTTGTTCTGAGGGCTCACAATGACCATGTCAGAGCTGCTGAGGATGCACCATTAAGATCCAAAATTACTGCCCCCTAAACACTTACAATACTTGGTAAAACATTTTTACCAGTATTAAGTCTCCTGTTTTGCTTGCTGGACGTTGGCCTGAGTCAGACAGCTTCTCTTAAAAAGTCCACAACATTCTTGGGATCTGTCCAGAGAACATTTGGATTTTTTGCTTTCCACGAAGACTCCTGTCAGTTGGCTACTCTAGTAAGTAGTGCCTGTGGTTTTTCTGACTCTGAGTCTCATCTTAGTAGCAGCTCATGTTGCTTGCAGTTGTGTATTAAACAGTTGGAGACACGTGCCCTCCGGAGATGAGCTGAGAGGTTCTGTAGTTGTGGTAAAACTCTTTTGCAACATGGATCTACTGCCAGCAGCTATGTTATTTGAGTCTACTGGCAGAAGATATATACGCTAGCAGTGCGGATGCTTTGACTTTGTGGTCTGGCACGATTGTTCTGCACAGCTGGCCACTATTTTTCTGATGTCCGGGGATGTGATGCCAGCCAAGAGGTAGAGGTTGTTTACATTGGTAGGCTTGAGACAACCATTGATGCTTCTGCAGCATTCATTTAACACTAAATCAATTTATTTTGCATGTACAAGCCTCTCTCACGTAGGGCACACATTCTCTGATGCTGAGTAGTAGAGCCAGCATGGCTGACCTGAATGTAGATGCATTCGCTCCTCATTATGTGTTGGCCAGTTTCCAGATGATGTCATATTGTGAGCTTGACTTCGCCGTGGATTTTTGGGCCTTCAAGCTGACAACAAGATGTCATGATGACTGCGTCTGGAGCCTAAACCAGGCTATGTTACGGTGAGCAATCTTGTTTGAGCAGTGAACTAAGGGGGAATATGGAAAAATAAAAAATGCACACTCAAGATATCGTGCATCATTATTCCCACCCTGAGGCTGGGGAGGGAGGAGAGCCCGTGGAGGTCGACAAGACTACAGCGGCACATCCACAGCACCTGCAGGTGTCTCAGGGATCCTCCCAAATCCCTGCAACAGCACAACACACACCAGCACCAACATACAGAAAAAAACGAACGCGCTTTTATTTAAGGTGTGTTTCAACCATACATGCTTTACTTGATGAGATCCGTTTTCCAAAACACGGGGGTGATGTTTCAGCTATGTGCAGTTTGACGTTGCTAAGATTGTTGTTAGATAGGCTTGCGAGAGGTGAGAGTGCTGCATCCATTGGAAGGTACTATGGTGTGAATGAATCGACTGTGAGAACTATTTACCATGTTTTATATTTTTTTGCATATGTTTTTTTCGTGTAAAAATGTAACACATACTCAATATGCTCACGCGCAATGCAAATGTTCACACACATTGTCGCATACATCTAGCCAACCACTCGTTCAGGACGTCAGTCATACGGACGCCTAGATGGCGAATCATTAAAGTTCAGGTGACAGTGGTATCAGTGGTATGGGTGAGCGTCTGGCTGGTAATTCAGTGTCAGGAGGCGAGTATTGGGTGTGAGTGCCGCGGTGCGGAAAGAGTAATGGAGATGGGGATTTTGTGTTGAGGTGTACACACAAAAGAAATGGGGAGTGAATCAGCATCCTTTATAACAATTAAGGTAGAAATCATATAGAATAAGTTAGGGGCTAATATTTTCGCACCCAGAAACACAACGCCTAATTTTCTCATAAGGTCTATTATTTAACGAATGTGATTTTGTCCAGTATGGCATATTCCAGGAATGTAACCCCGCATTTGACAAAGTTTTCCTGTAATGGTTAACACAACAATGCATTGTTGAATCATATTCGTACAAGCTTGTTTACCATTGCAACTAAAAAGAGTATTGCAACTAAAAAGAGTATTGCAAGTCTTGCGTTGATGAGCAATGTAGTGTTTTGAAGTGATATATCACTCCAATTACCCTATCTGACTTAACTATTTTTCGAAGGCTTAACATTATTCATTATTTTTTCCGATGATTTTTTTTCCATTTTAGTTGGACCCTGCCTTAGGAATGTGAAACTTTCATCACTGGTTCAGCATCATTCGAATACCATCCCACACTTGAGCAGGAATAAATTTAGAATGCAGTTGTCAAGTCAAGATATGTTGGATTGTGCCCAGTCTAGTCAATAGTCAAGATAGTGTAGTGGGTATTGATAGCGTTATACGCGGTCACCGCTACTTACCTGGTGTAACGCCAGCCATGGGTCAACAGGGGGCGACAGCGAGTAACGCCGTTAGACCAGGGAACCCAGAGGGCGGTTGGGAACCGGAGGTATACACCCCCAGGCCCCCAGTGGGGGCTGGGGGATTACACAATAGTCCAGGTCCCTCCAGAAGGTTCCAGAGAGTAGGCGTGGCCAGGGGTGGAGTGACCCTGGGAGCTGTATATAAGGCGGACCCTGAAAGGGTTTGCCAGTCGTCGTCAAGCTGAAGACCCGAAGAGCCAGCCTAGAAAAGGACTCTGGGAACCCCCGGAACCGCCGTCCTTCTAAGGGCCGGGACCGAGCGGGCCAGTGGCCGGGACCCGAGGACCTTGGCTGGGTCCGGTTAGCTAGCCTCCCCTAGGTCCCCCTAGCCGAAGGGCTGATATCTAGAGGAAGTGGTCCCAGTAAGTAGGACACGCTAGCCCGGAGGCTGTACCTTCCCAGGGTATCGGGTGGAGGGACCGATACCCCTTGTGCTAGGGACCTCGTGTTATAGTTGTCACTATTAAATAAATGTGTTGCCTCCAGAAGAGGACTGTGTTTCCATCATTACCACTACAATAGCAAGACAGTTGATGTGAACAGCGTGGTTTGTGCAGCATGGTGGGTGGGATGTTCGTGTACCTAATGCAGCTGATGGTGCTGTTGTTGAGCTTGAGGTGCAGTAGCCCAGGCAGATGAGCACCTGAACAAGATGACATTGGGGATCAGTCTCAGGTATGAGTGAGCAATACTGGGACTAAAAGCTGTATAGTCCCAGTGAATTAGCCCTCAGGCATTAAGGCGTTTTACATGGGGAAAGAAAGGTCAATCTGATGCATAAGTGGTGATTAAAATACAATCCACACTGCAACGGTGGCAAACTTTAATCAACAGTAGATGGTCAACAGTCGCCCCTTATATTCACTTTCTGAGTAGGCAACACCATTTCATTCTGCATCCAATTATTATGTTCTTTGACTGGATATGAAAACTATTTTCTCATGACCGTAGAATATCAACTAATGTCATAGCAATTGTGCATTCTTTCTTAGGTGTGACACTAGTCATAGCAAATTTAACTTGCTGACAAACATCATGTTTGCTGACATGATGATGATTTTGTTTATTTGGTTGTGTGAATGTGGATTTTGTGTCTATCTCAGAACAGCCAATGCAAAATAGCAACCTGTTATATAGATGTGTGCAATTCATGTACTGTAATGTGTTTTCATTATCAAGTTAAGTTTTACAAAAGCAGTCCAACCGGTTCTTATCTGCCACTTTATTTAATAATTTTGCTTTTGGTCTGCCTTCAGTAACTGCCCTATAAATACATTATCTAATGTGTTTTCCAGCTGCGTCCCTATTGACAACTACCTTAAACTGTTTATTAAAAAATCCACATATCAATGTACCGAGAGAAAATTTTCAACCAATGTATATTACCTATGATAAATGGATTAAAAATATGGACATTAAGTATGAAACAAAAGCCGAAAGTGCACAATGAATCATGGAGAAGTGCATTTTTGGAATCACACTGAGCCACAGAAAGAGCAAAACTTGTATAAGAGCGCATACATTTAGTAATAGGTTTTTACCCTTTTATCTGGCACCAAAACTGACACCTTTATACAAGGGATCATGTTTGCAATAACCACAACACAAGCAGTAAAAAGGCGTCATCTTGTCCAACACCAGTGGAGACTAGGCTCTAAGAAAAGCCATCTCGGGGGTGGACCAATCAATTTCAAGGACAGTGCATAATTATCAGAGTTATCTCTTTTTGTTTGCATTTTGACTGCTTGTGTTGTGGTTATTGCAAACATGATCCCTTGTATAAAGGTGTCAGTTTTGGTGCCAGATAAAAGGGTAAAAACCTATTACTATATCTTGCTACTGGCAAAGGAGGTCTCATAATGTGTGCATACATGTTTGAGATTATATTTGGCTACAGTAATGAAGAGCATGTTGACCAAGTTGGTGCAATGGGGGGTTTCTTAATATAAGGATGCTTTTGATGGTGTGAAAGCTATGAAGACATATGTAGTGACTGTGATTGTCACTGTGTGGTGCCGGGCTTACGAAGCCAAGGCGGATAATGCGTTGGCATTATGTGTAGCCCGCTTACTGGGGGAAGTACCAGCCCGAGCGGGGCTTGGGTGAGCACTGGTCAGCGCGGAGGCACCAGTACAGTGTGCGGTGCGGGCTCCCGGTGAGGGAGTGAGAGGGAGTGTCAGCCAGCCAGGGTTACGTTGGGGCATATGCTGGTTGACCTGACGACATGTGACCGGATGATATTGGAGGGGGGCCACTAGTGGACGGGGGCCGCTTGGCTGTCACATGGTATAAAAGAGCTCTCACGGAGCCTTCGGGAAAGAGCTCGACAGATCTAGAAGGTGGGCGGGGCGAGGGGCGGAGCCAGCCCCAGCTCAGGCCGATATAACGGGGGCCCCGTGAGGGGCTCAGGGTTCTTCGTGTTGCTGGTGATGAAGATCCCCGCGGATAAAAGAAGCCTCTAGTCACGCGGTCCGGGACCCAGCTTGTGGTCCGGGCCGGGATAGCGAACTGTGTCTAGTTCTGCCGTAGCGTGGCTAGATGAGCATTCAACACCCAAGTGTAGGTTGTTATGTTATGTTGAGTTACTGAATAAAGTGTTGCTCCCAAGACAACGTCTGCGACTCAGTTGGACTCACTACACATACATAGGAAAGATGCTTTTCATTCTTGAACAAAAGGGAGTTATAGAACAATAATGGTGTCTAAAATAGCTTTGTTCAAATAATGGAAACCTTGGATCAGTTTGATTTCTTCGCCCCATCATGTGGGTGTGGACCATTAGACGAACGGTATTACATTGCCTGGCATTGTAGGCAAGGACCATTATTCATGAATGCTGTTGAGTCCCAAATCACATTCAGCATAAGAGATATATTTTTTTACAAAATTCACTACTGGGGACATTGGTCGAGAACACAGATTGGCTGATCGACTTAAATTCTATATTGGAGGACAAAGAATGGTTTTCCTGATTTATTTTTTATTTTATTACTTCCCATAAACTCCCCAAGATGGTGTGTAATGATTTCTCGATGGTGTTGTGGGATGTGCATTTATGATGGATGCACCAACCAAAGTTCCCCAGGCTGCTCTCACGTGTGTCCACACACATCTCCAGAGTGGACACCTCCTGCAGATTCTCCTGTCCCGTCAATGCTTGCTGCAAAACACAAATTTCAGTTAGCTCACGTTATGATTTCCATTTAATTAAGTGTGTGTAAGCGATGACTGTCATCGATAACCATTGAAGTCTGGTTCGTGAATCAAGCAGGTCAAAGCTGAGATGCGCATGAGACACACATCCATTTGTCGCAATTGTGTCTATATATGACATACTCGTACTAATGTAAATTTAAATTATTTATGATGTTTGTTTACCAAGAAAAGCCTCACTTGAGTTGCACGATTCTTTTTCAAAAGGGTCCTGCCAAATGTTTTCAGTAGGGGGCGATGTTGCTACCGTGTGTAATCTCAATTGAGTAATTTGCAGGTCATTTTTAGCATTGCAATATTTGTCCAATACCAGTTACATTGTGTTTTTTAGCTACCCACAAATTGCTTTTTAGGCCTTCCATCATGTGATGATATGATGGCCTGCTGAGGGAGCTCTGGAAGAATGTGACATGACTCACCCGCCGTGCATTCGCTGCTTGTTTGTAGAGGTTCGTGGTTCTAGACTATTGTCCAGCCGGGTTGTTACTTCTACGGATGTATTGACCATGAAATACATGCTATATGCTTCACAGTGGACGTTACACTTTCCCATTCATTATTATTAGAAATAAGGCCATTGTGTGTTGTAAAATTACCCATCGTAATCATCGCCCCCTGTTGGCAGACTTATGCCCACTTGCAGGTGGGGTGCCCTTTCAAATGCGCTGAGATGAAATATGATGCAAGTTGCTTGTCTTGTGTAAAGCACTCAGTGACGCTCCGGCATAAAGCGTGCTCAATCAAAAACAAATCATGACAATGTTTTACGCCTATCTGCTGCTTGACAACTTCATTGGCAGTATATAGTCACTATTTTTTTCACTATTTACAGCAAACAGCGAATACTGCTTAGCCAACTCAGTAGTAATGACACGAAGGCACCAGAGCCTCGATTTCGGCTGAAACAAGAAAGCCACTGGCCAGACCTTGTTTATGTTTCATTTGTCAATGGTGTTGTACATCATGGCCATAATTTAAACCTGAATAGCACGGACAGCTGAGCAGTACCGCTACTCCCCATAACACAATCCCATCAATATTACAAAACGGCACGTGACCTTGTGCCACACTGTAAATGAGACATTGCATCGCATAACCATTAAGAGCTTTCCAAAGATTAACTAAATACATCAATAAAGAAATTAAAGAATGAGCAAGAATCAATGCGCTGGTCTTCATTTTCTCAGAAACCCCTTTAATGCATGCGTGAGACAGCCCATATTGCATTAAAACTCTGGCACAAACTGAACAATCATTTTTCTCAGAAAGGAATGCACCATTGTGCACGCTAAGTGAATTATGTCTCCAGGGCATGGAGGAACCTGAGCACCAGGCCACTTTCGTCACTAATCTCCCTGCTGCAACACATCCATTCTCTACCGTCAGCTTACAGCTCGCGAGTTTCCCATGTTTCTATTGTTTCAACAGGTTCAGCTGGAAGATGAAGTTTACATAACTACCATATATGTATTCAATGCTAAAAAAAGGCTTTACCGTTTCAGGTGGAAATGCAGTGTCAATATGCTCAAACACAAAATAGACACCAATTACAAGGCATTGTAATAACTTTTCAACCAGAATTATATTGCGTTGGTGTTTGCATTTGCCTTGTTCTACTCACCTTTTAGTGGCCTTTGGTCTATCACGAGTGAGACAAACAATAAAGTAGGCTTGTCTCTGGTGCAGACCAATCAGTTTCAAGGACGATGCATTCATTATTACAGCATATTAACGAGTATTTTTTTTACCACGTGTGGTTTCGCAGAATCGATGCCTTATAATTGGTGATATTTGGTGTTTGAACATCATTCATGAAAATTACACGTAAATGTAACTAATAAATGAGACAATACAAACTAGACAAAAAGCAAATCATTTCCTGTATTGAATCATGAGCCATAATTATGAAAATCCATCAAATCACAGGGAGGGGAAGGGTGAAGTGTGAGATGTGAAATGTGCTGTGCTCCCTAGACACATTTGTCCCATCAGTCTAAAAGGATAATCAGGAGATCTGCGACCAGATTGTGCTGTATTAAAACAGCAAAAATCACTTGGCGATAATGCAAAAAAATACTCTCCAGCTTTTGTTGCATTTTCTTTGTCAATGTCCATGTTTACAATCCATACATCGTAGCAGGTGTTATAAAATAATTTTTCTCTTCATGAATGCTTTCATTGACAAATAAAATGAAACAGCTGAAAAATGCACAAAGACGCGTGCTTGGAATTAAGAGATAGAAAGAGGAACACATGAAATAAGAGAAAACATGCAGGTTAGAGATATCATAAACATGCATTGAGATAATTTAGATTATCTTGCTGCTATAAATTTCCACATAAGCCACTGTTATCATTTATGGCTAGGTCACTTCTGAAAAATAAGCTAATACATTAGTGGGCTTTACCTGGTAAGATAAAAAATAATTTCGTTTTATTTGTATATTTTTAAGTGATTTGTTTACCTTTCCTATATTTTGTATTATTTGTTATTACACGACCCACACTCGACATTTGTGAAAAAGAGCTTTATAGTTAATCAGATTCCTCCAGGAAAAATATTCTGATTCTGAATGTGAAAAACAGCAGTCATCCCTCGCAAAATTTCGCTAAAACGTAGCTTATAAATTAGGGGAAACATTCGATATACGTTAATTAAAATTCGCATTTACGAAATTTAGAATCTCTCAGTTATAGTTTTTATGGGGGAAATGTCGAACCATGTCTGTCGTTTCTCCTTGCGCGCATTTCACACTGCTCCAGGTGGTGTGCGTGGCGAACTTTCCATGCTGTGCGGGTTTTTCCCGCGCACTTTGTGCTGCCCAAGCGTGGCTCGTTTTTATCGCTACGTCGTGTTGATTACGCTCGGCACTGCACTGTGGAGGAGGATTTCACCCTTTTTCAACGTTCTTCATTCACTAAGAGTATGTCACGCTGTCTTGAAAGAGGCCATTAAGTGAAAGTGGTAGCGGAAGAGCAAAAAATAGCCGTGAAGCAATTACCTTGGATGTAAGTACTGTGCAGTATTTTTTGTTTACAACTTCTTTTGAGAATGATTAATAATGTGTCGATTCATCTTCTTGGTTCTTTCAGTAAAGTCACGCAGAATGAGAATAAAACAATAAAACAAAATAAGACAATAAAATTCTCACGACGTTTCGGCCACAACACAAGTAGCCTTCTTCAGGTGAAGGGACAGAACTGTCGGGATGACAGCGCTTCAATGAACGCTGCTAAGATTTGCAGCGTCTTTTAAGCTAGGTGGGAGAAGTAAAGCTTAAAAGACGCTGCGAATCTTAGCAGCGTTCATTGAAACACTGTCGTCCCGACAGTTCTGTTCTTTCACCTGAAGAAGGTTACTTGTGTTGTGGCCGAAACGTCGTGAGAATTTGAGTCTTATTTTGTTTTATTGTTTTATTCTCATTCTGCGTGACTTTACCGAAAGAACCAAGAAGATGAATCCTTGCAGTCACGAAAGCTTTAAATCGAAATGTATCGATTGTGTTGTTGTGACTTGCTGACCTGCCCTGACTAGATATCTGTGAAAAAAGAGCTTTACAGCTCATCAGATTCCTCCAGTATGAAGATTATGATTCTGAAAAAAAAATCTCTATGTGCTGAAAAAATGTTTGCTGCATTCTGAAGTGTGATTGTATTACATCTTGGGGGCTAATTTATTTTCAGTAGGTAAGCAACTCCAATAATATAATGGAAGTCAATGGGAAAATAGGGTTCAATATACAGTGAGGGAAAAAAGTATTTGATCGCCTGCTGATTTTGTACGTTTGCCCACTGACAAATAAATGATCAGTCTATAATTTTAATGGTAGGTTTATTTAAACAGTGAGATACAGAATAACAACAAAAAATCCAGAAAAACGCATGTCAAAAATGTTATAAATTGATTTGCATTTTAATGAGGGAAATAAGTATTTGGCCCCCTCTCAATCAGAAAGATTTCTGGCTCCCAGCTGTCTGTTATACAGGTAACGAGCTGATATTAGGAGCACACTCTTAAAGGGAGTGCTCCTAATCTCAGCTTGTTACCTGTATAAAAGGCACCTGTCCACAGAAGCAATCAATCAATCAGATTCCAAACTCTCCACCATGGCCAAGACCAAAGAGCTGAGAGACAGAATAACAACAACACAATCCAGAAAAACGCAAGTAAAAATTTTTATAAATTGATTTGCATTTTAATGAGGGAAATAAGCATTTGACCCCTCTGCAAAACATAACTTAGTACATGGTGGCAAAACCCTTGTTGGCAATCACAGAGGTCAGACGTTTCTTGTAGTTGGCCACCAGGTTTGCACATATCTCAGGAGGGATTTTGTCCCACTCCTCTTTGCAGATCTTCTCCAAGTCATTAAGGTGTCGAGGATGACATTTGGCAACTCGAGACTTAAGCTCCCTCCACAGATTTTTTTTTATGGGATCAAGGTCTGGAGACTGGCTATGCCACTCCAGGACCTTAATGTGCATCTTTTTGAGCCACTCCTTTGTTGCCTTGGCCGTGTATTTTGGGTCATTGTCATGCTGGAATACCCATCCACGACCCATTTTCAATGCCCTGGCTGAGGGAAGGAGGTTCTCACCCAAGATTTGATGGTACATGGCCCCGTCCATCGTCCCTTTGATGCGGTGAAGTTGTCCTGTCCCCTTAGCAGAAAAACACCCCCAAAGCATAATGTTTCCACCTCCATGTTTGACGGTGGGGATGGTGTTCTTGGGGTCATAGGCAGCATTCCTCCTCCTCCAAACACGGCGAGTTGAGTTGATGCCAAAGAGCTCCATTTTGGTCTCATCTGACCACAACACTTTCACCCATTCATTCAGATGTTCATTGGCAAACTTCAGACGGGCATGTATATGTGCTTTCTTGAGCAGGGGGACCTTACGGGCGCTGCAGGATTTCAGTCCTTCACGGCGTAGTGTGTTACCAAT